CGGTGAAAACACATGGTGTGATCAATTTAACAAAAAAGCCCCTGATACCAGCTAAACCTATTAAAACAACCACGAAGGGTTATGCCGAAGTTTTAGCTGGTAGTCTATATTTTTCCGTAAACAAAATTTAATTTGAGATTAAACTGTAAACTGACCTAAAATATTGGGACTTTATTGGAGATTTTTTTTAACATTAGAGAGAGAGAGAGAGTGTGTGTGTATATATATATATATATAATAGTGTTGCAGAAATCAACTTTAGCGGCTGATTAATCGTTGATTAATCGCTTGGCGGTCTGCAATCGATTACTATTGGGGGTGCTTGGCGGAAATTGGTTAATATTGGTCAAACTCGACCTAGGTGGTTATCAGCACTCCTTGACGATCCTTGGTGCTCCTAGGCGAGAAAATTTGTAATAAAATAAAGATCTTAAGATTCAACCTAAGTCATATATTTCTCATTTGTTGCTCTAATGCTCCAACGTAGTAGCGGCGATAGGGTATGTCTAGTCATAAATAATTATTTGGCAGAGAAGTATAATCATATATGTCTATTCAGAAAGTGCTTAATAATATATGATTATGGTGGTTAATGGGGGAGAAGGTTGCCGCAAAGGTGGCGTGGTATAGTTGGCGGAGGTGGTAGTAGTATGGTTAGTTGGTGGCGGGTTGGTGGTGGTGGTGGTGGCGATGGTTATGATGGTGGGGAAGGCGGTAGAGGAAAAAGGAATGGATGACGTTGTATAATCGTTTATGATTTTAAACTCTTCCGTGGTGTCAGTATGCAGGAAGGTTAGAGTGGCAAATGAGAAGTATGCGATCGATGTGGAATCTCAAAATATCTATTTTTTCATAATCTCAACGGAACCTATCTCTCTCTCTCTCTCTCTCTCTATATATATATATATATATATATATATATATATATATATATATATATATATATATATAAGATGATCGTTGTGGTTGTCAGAAAATATGTGGTATTGGTCTAAAAATATTTGGAGTTGCATCATTTGCCCAATTTTGAATATCTTATTTGGTTTTGCTCCATACCCCACTAGGAATTATGAATATACTCTTAAGTATTTCTTTTAACTGTTTTTTATTAGTTTAATTAAAAAATACAAAAAGGGAAAATCCCACCCACCCACCTCCAACTAATAGTTTTCGGACAATCACCTCTTGGACCACTACTGCCAGTTGGGCACTAGTACCTGTCATACCACCACCGTACTCATACCAGTACCACAACCTATCGAATCTACATGACTAAAAAATATCCCACCCAACCCACCCTAATTATCTCCCCAACTTATCTTTATGTATCTCTCTTTTGGATTTGTTAAATTAAGGAACATTATCGGTGACAACAATTATTCAACCTCTTCTTGTTGGCAAGCATCTTCGATCACTTCTACCCACGAACCACCTTATCATACCACTTTTCACGTTTCATCTTTAATGACCACAAAATTTTATCCATACATCAAACTAAAATTTAATAAAAAATCACACCAAACCAAATTCAAGAACAAACTTGCGACCTGCAACCAATATCAAAACTTGCAAATCTTTTCAGGTCCAAAAATCATCCCCTCTAAATCCAAAATTTAGAAATGGTTTGAAATGGTTTATAAATCGATTCCCCTATAGAAACCAAATTTTGTAGATGATGAATCAGCGAAGAAGACAATGAAATAACTTACCATGATAGTGAATCAATTTTTCTTCATGATTTCAAATCCACCACCATTAACCTTTAGCATTGAGTTCAGATTGGCAAAGAAGATGGAGAATTAGTTTTCCACGATAGCAAGTCTACACTCTTCGATGACGTTGGGAAAAAGCATCAATATGTTAAAGGAAAATGGTGTGGTGGTCGGGAGATTGACTATATCACCCAGTTTTGAAAGTACTCTGTTGTGGTCTCAAAGGCCAAGAGCATAGGCGATTCGGACTTTTGTGGGTCTAGGGTCTTATTCGGAAGTTTT